CATTTTTTTCTTCGGGTGTACTGGAAAGAAACTGCTCTACCTGGCCTATATCTAGAAGACTCATGATGACACCCAGCTGCGCCAAAGGTGGAATGATATCTGATTCCAACATGGATGGGTCAACACTGAGTTTCTGCGCATGCTCAAATGGTAGTTGCCTAGTCCATCATGTACAGACTTCTCATCAGTGTACCTGCACTCAAATGTCCATAAATAGCAATACCAATGCAACATAAAGCACTGTCTTAAGATACAATTACCTTCAAATTTGAATTGAGAAGATTCACAGGCTACCTGGCTAAAAAGGGGGACAGGAGATTAAATAAATGTTTAAGTATTTCCTGAATGCTTACAAAAGTAACTTTTATTTCTCTTACCTAATCTTTAAATTCTAGTCAGATTCTTTCTGTCAGTAGTCAACTTCATTTGTCTGTTCCTAGGGCCCCAGCTAAGTGAAGTAACATCCAAAATGTTCATTTTTCCTCCTCAGCAAAGTAACAGAGAGAGTTTCTAATCTATTGGCCAGGGACAGTACGGGTAAGAATTGCTAACTGCCCCCATTTTATAAGAAAGTAGCCTTCCACATTAATGTCCATCATGTAAGTGATTTAGCAGTCAGTTGAGGATGAATGCAACAAAAACCGAGAGAGAAACCCATGTGCAGGGTTTGTCCAGGAGATTAAAACTACTGCAGTGCGGGAATGCGGGCTGCTAAGTCAGCTCTAGGTGAAATATATTCTGGAGGAAATGGAAAACCAGAAAGCAAAGGAGGAGCTAAAAAGCTACCCCTAACTTAATCAACTCTTTCCATGAGTCCGTAAAATTGCATTTGTTCCTGAAACTGAAATTCAGACCCTTTTGGTTCAATTTTAGGTTTTCCAACACTTTTCTCATCGCAGTGTGGAAGATCAGGAAGGGAGGGAAGAAAAGATGCTACCATGCAAGAAGCCAAAAATGAGTCAGTTTTGTCATCTGCTTTTTTGAATGTCATGAGAGTAACATAAGTAACTTCATACTTGATAACTTCATACTGATGACAAGCATCTTTACAAAATTAACCATATCATACACTATAATTAGTTCTCTTGCAAGGTTAAATAACATAAAATTCAAAATTACTGGGTGATTAAACAATTACACAATTTTTAACTCCTGAGTAAACAAACTGCACACACTTGGCCAAGAGAACACTGGATGAGAACAGAGGCCATGTGTCAGATGAGCCACCAGAAATCAACATTCTTTGGAAAGAATTGCACAGAGAACTGAATTTATTGCGAACACTGACACTGTTTAGTATTAGGTTCTGATAAAGGTTAAGTCTACTGCACATTCTTATGCCCACTGTATGGTACAGGCTGAGGGCAAAGTAAATCGCAGGAAATTTCACAATCAACTCTCTGCTCCTCACCAGACTATACAGCAGAGGTGGGTGCTGAAACAAATTCCAGGTGCCAGGCTACCTTTTGCTTTTCAGTTTAATTATTTATGTTAACATGCCAACTTTCTGTATTAGTCTTCAGTATGAAGTTACGTTGTGTTTTTTTGGTCCTTTGAGCTAAGACTTTGTAAGCATCAGTGTAGGAAAGAGTGACTGAGAACTCACCTTTAATGCCAGCGGCTTTAGCAGTTTGTAATAAAAATGTAGTTCAGATCTCAACAGAGAAGTCTAAAAAACATACTTCAAGGTCAAACGAACCAACTTTTCCTGCCATTACTTTTTTTTTGAGACAGGGTCTCACTACGTAGCCCAGGGTGGCCTCAAACTCATGGTAGTCCTCCTGCCTCAGCCACTCAAGTGCTGGGATTACAGGCATGCACCACCACTCCCAGCTTCTACCATTATTTTTATATAAAGTATATTCATCTGCTCCTAAAACTTTTTGTGAAAGAAATGTTGTATTTTTTTTTTTTTTCTTTTGGTTTTTTTGAGACAGGGTCTCACTATGGAGTTCAGACTGGGTCTGAGCTCACTTTGTAGCCCCGGCTGCTCTCGAACTCGCAACGATCCTCCTGCCTCAGCCTCCCGAGTGCTGGGATTATAGGCATGCGCCACCATGCCCGGCTCTGAATTTTTTTGAGAAATAATTTTTAAGTAAAATGTCTCCCACGCTAAGTATACTTGTGATTATAACCCTGAAAATCTTGTTTTTCTGTACTTACCTCTATGTGTTAGTGTATCCACACTCTTGTTGTGGAACTTAGAATAACTCATATACATGTAATGTGGAAATCTGCCTTCAGTTCACTTTGACCTGTGTGGTTTAACTCTTATTGCTTACTAAGTGCTTTGTAAGATATAGGACAACATATTATAATTATAAATATGATGAAACCTTGGTCATACAACTGCTGATGAGAATGTAAAAATGGTACAACTTTTGAGCCAGGAGTAGTAGCACACACCAGCAATCCCAGCATTTGGGAGGCTGAGGCAGGAAGAGTGCCATGAGTTCAATGTCTGTCTGGGCTACATAGTAAATAAGCTCAAGACCAGCCCAAGCTATATACTGAGACCTTGCCCCCCGCCCCCGCTCCAAAAAAACCAAAAAAATTTATTTACAAATATTTACCAATGGATTATTCATAATAGCTCAAAGGTGTAAGCAACCCAAAAGTCTATGATATGACAAATACATAAACTGTGGTGATAATGAAATATTATTCAGCCATAAAAAGGAAACTCTGATACATGTTATAACCAAAAGAACCTTGAAAACATACAAAACATACAAACCCAGTCACAGAAGACCCCATCTTACATAAAAGCATTGATAATTAATGTCTAGAACAGACAAATCTATACAAACCAAACAGTAGATTAATGGTTGCCTGGGCTTGCAGGGGTGCATGGGATGGTGGGGAATAGCTAGAGCATGAATTTCTTTTTGAGGCAATGAAAATGTTCCAAAATCTACTATAGTGATGGTTGCACACAATCTGTAACTATACGAAAAACTACTGAATTACTTTAAGTGGATGAATTATATGTCTGTGTATCATAATTCAATTAAGTTATCATTTAAATTTTTTTTTATAAGACGCAAGGTACTTGAGAATCAACAAACCTCTCCTAGAAAGCTTTTCTGGTCAACGGTAAAAGATTTAGTGAAACTAAGTCTAATTTACTTCATTGTAATTGGAACCAGCCTGCAATATTTTGATATGTGCATTTCTAAAATGTGAATATAGTTTAAGAAAACACTTCATTACATCAGATATTCCAGGCACCCTGCCATGAGGCTTTTTTTAACTATAAAAAAAGAGAAAAAAAATCTTAAAAGGAATCTACTTAATCAACTTCAGAGTATATGTTCTTTCTTGTTGCCTCATCTCCCGTGACACTGTCTCCCTGAAATTTTCAGGAAGCAGTACTGAGCATAGTTAATGCATTCATTTGTCAA